ATTAACTGTGTTCGTGACCGGTAAACATTTCGACCTGCATTTCGAATGATCCCAGTACTTTGCTCGATGCTACCATATATATATATATATATATATATACATGACACGTACGTGGATCATCTGAAAGTCTGAAATGTGCTCCTTAAACAGAAGAGTAGACATTTTGCAATTTAAATACGCTGAAAAGTCCGTACCATTGTGAATATATTGTCTATAGTAAAGATATTATTCTTATTATTATGATTATTACTATTAAATAGGGAACTAGCTGCTTCAAATAGTGCAAGCCAGAAACGGATCACATATGTTGGAAATCAGTCGAAGTGAAAATCTCAGGAGGCAATCAAAAATTGTATTTTCTAACTTATACTTTCATCATGACACTACATCAAGGATTCAGGATGTATGCACACTGATTACCGCTAATACCTGTCTCGCCTCTGGCGACTGTTTGCACAAACAATCCTGTGTATAATAGAGGCCTACAGTTTATTGAATAAGTGGACATTTATTCTATGTTTGGCCCACAATTTCATTTATCCATTGCAATACCTTCAGTCTATCTTGGTATTTTAGCATATCAGTAATTGCTGTTCAATTAGTTTGGCTAATATTTGAGAAGCCTGATTCCAACTATGCATTCAATCTGATTTTCACAGGAATGTCGGTGAGTAAAATGTGACTGACTGGTATATGCGTGCATATATTATATTGCGACAAAGTGTCAGCTGAAATTTCGTCAGCTGCTTTCAGATAGCTTTCTCAAAGTCTGAAAGCGAAACGATTAATACATTGTAGGATATAACATATGAAGGTGTCAGTTGTACCGTGAGTTCCATTATGCGTAAATTTTGTTTGATAAAGTCTCACAGCGTTATACAGTAATGTTTACTGATGACGTTTCGAGCACAATTTATTGCTCATAATCATATCAAGGTAATCACACGACTTCCTAAATTCATTTATATAGTTCCATTGTTTTTCTCTTGATTTTCACTTGATTTGATTGGTAATAGTATTTTCCATATTTCAGGTATGAGTGACGAGTCATTCCTATTGCATGTGTTGGGTGTAGACTCGATGAACAAGGATTCAGTAATCAATTTCTCTCTCCACCTACCTAGATTACTTTTTAGAATTTTAACCCTCTCCCACCCTATTGTGTGGTTGTGTGTTAGCGCATGCATTGCAATTGCTGAGCTTTTTTCTAAATTACTTATCTTCTCGGGGTCAACCATTCTTACCTTAGCTAAATTTTTATGCTCTGACAATCTGACTAACCCTGACCTACTAGTTTGACCTATGTAGTTGACCTCACAGTCATTGCATGGTATTTTGTAAATAATATTATTTTGTCTAATTGGGTCAACTGGGTCCTTTAACCTACAGAGCTTGTCCCTGAGTGAGTTTGTAGGTTTAAATGCCACCCTAATTCCTATTTTATTCAGAATCCTACGTAGTGTCTCAGATGTCCCCTCTTTATATGGTATAACTGTGGATGACTTATATTCTTTCTTATTTATGTTGTTATTACTAGTTTCATAATTATTTTTATTTTGTTTTTGGCCTTTAATGATCTTCCTAATGAATTTTATAGGATAGTTATTCAACACCTACGCTTCTTCTGTCTGTTTTAATTCATCATTTAGATCTTTTCTTGTGCTACTTAGTGCCACTGCTCGGTTTGTTAAACATTTAACTAAGCCTGCCTTAACAGTTAAGGGATGAGACGAATTAAAGTCTAAATATCTATTAGAATGCGTATGTTTTCTATAAACACTAGTGTGTAGTTTGCCTTCTTCTATTCTTTTTATCTTACAATCTAACATAGCTAATTCTCCTTGTTCATTTTCTGATTCAAATGTGAATTTTATTCCCTCAACTTGTGAGTTTATATCTGTCAAGAAGCTAGTTACTGAACATATTCAAACGGGTCCATATGAGGAAATTAAGAAGCCTGTAGATACAATAATGAATAAGGTTAAGATATCTACAGCGGATATAATACGCAGAATGAAGTCATCACTGGGTGAGTCTAAATGGTTTAATTTAATGCCTAAAACTAATAATGCTAGTAGAATATATGGTACTATAAAAATACATAAGCCAGGTTACCCCATAAGACCAATAGTAGATTTTAGAAATACCCACACGTATGAATTATCAAAACACTTAGCTCTAATATTATGCCCCATTAGAAATCGTTCAAACTCTAGATTAACTAACTTATATGAGATGAAAAATAAACTAAACGACATTCAACTAGCGAATGATGAAACAATGGTTAGTTTTGATATAACTAGTCTTTATACTAATATACCAGTCAATATGGCCTTAGAAGCAGTTAAAAAAGAATTAACTGCGGATCCGGAACTCAGTCATAGGACAAAGCTGCCCACTGAAGAAATTATTTAAGGGATTTAGTTATGCCTCACATCTACTATCTTTAAATTCCAAGGCAAAATATATAGACAAACAGAAGGTGTAGCAATGGGATCACCAATATCCCTTATCGTAGTGGACATATTTATGGACAGCTGGGAAAATAGTGCCCTTAATACATTTAACCCTACTCCGAAAATATGGTGGAGATATGTGGATGACACTTTCACAGTGTTAAAAACAGAACACATCTCTAGCTTCTTGACAGATATAAACTCACAAGTTGAGGGAATAAAATTCACATTTGAATCAGAAAATGAACAAGGAGAATTAGCTATGTTAGATTGTAAGATAAAAAGAATAGAAGAAGGCAAACTACACACTAGTGTTTATAGAAAACATACGCATTCTAATAGATATTTAGACTTTAATTCGTCTCATCCCTTAACTGTTAAGGCAGGCTTAGTTAAATGTTTAACAAACCGAGCAGTGGCACTAAGTAGCACAAGAAAAGATCTAAATGATGAATTAAAACAGACAGAAGAAGCGTAGGTGTTGAATAACTATCCTATAAAATTCATTAGGAAGATCATTAAAGGCCAAAAACAAAATAAAAATAATTATGAAACTAGTAATAACAACATAAATAAGAAAGAATATAAGTCATCCACAGTTATACCATATAAAGAGGGGACATCTGAGACACTACGTAGGATTCTGAATAAAATAGGAATTAGGGTGGCATTTAAACCTACAAACTCACTCAGGGACAAGCTCTGTAGGTTAAAGGACCCAGTTGACCCAATTAGACAAAATAATATTATTTACAAAATACCATGCAATGACTGTGAGGTCAACTACATAGGTCAAACTAGTAGGTCAGGGTTAGTCAGATTGTCAGAGCATAAAAATTTAGCTAAGGTAAGAATGGTTGACCCCGAGAAGATAAGTAATTTAGAAAAAAGCTCAGCAATTGCAATGCATGCGCTAACACACAACCACACAATAGGGTGGGAGAGGGTTAAAATTCTAAAAAGTAATCTAGGTAGGTGGAGAGAGAAATTGATTACTGAATCCTTGTTCATCGAGTCTACACCCAACACATGCAATAGGAATGACTCGTCACTCATACCTGAAATATGGAAAATACTATTACCAATCAAATCAAGTGAAAATCAAGAGAAAAACAATGGAACTATATAAATGAATTTAGGAAGTCGTGTGATTACCTTGATATGATTATGAGCAATAAATTGTGCTCGAAACGTCATCAGTAAACATTACTGTATAACGCTGTGAGACTTTATCAAACAAAATTTACCCATAATGGAATTACACTTTACCACATTGCACATGTTTTATTCTTATATCTATATACCGTGAATTCACGGATAGGGATTTTTCTACGTATGGTTCTATACTACTAATAAATATCAAGGTTCAACGGGAAGTTAAAATTCTCGAATAATGCATTCTTCAGAAACAACAAAATCAGAATGCAAGGAATCTCGTTAGGTAGAAGCTTAGAATAAGCCGAAGTCCGGCAGAAACCAAGGTGGAACGAAATAGCTTGCAATGTTGAATCGTGTATGGTTTTCGAATAAGGACAATCTACTGTCTCAAAAAAGTAGTCAGTATTTGTTTACTTCTCATCGGCGTGACCAAACTAATTTCAAATGAGGTATAAAATTTACCAACACAGCTAATTACATTTCAATATTTGCGGTGTTCACACATTCTTATTAACTAAAGTGAAGCGTAATCTAATTCAATGAAAAGAAAAGTTTACTAAACAAGTGTTGAACATCGCGATGCTGTTATTTCTCAGGGAGCAAGACATAACCTAATGTAAAAGTCGACGAATTTTTCAAAAGATGTAGCTTTAGCGTATCAGAGTAGGTGACTTTATTGGTAATATGTGGTTGAATAAATAATAAAACATTTGACTACTTCTCTGATGAAAATAAAGGACGAAGTAGTGTCATTTAGATGAGTACATCACTTCGTTGGACGAATGCTTCTAATGGCGAATGATTCATGAATCATGACTTTTTATTCACTATCATATGCAGATATTTATTCCGTACTATTGAATATCCAGTCTCACTATAGGATGAAGGCCAACAATAGTCGCTTTCATGCCTGTTCATACTTCAGTAAGAAAAAGCATCACGAATGCAGATATTAACTCCCAATCTATCCGCATATAAATGACTGAAGCAAATACGACTAAAATATCTCAACAATAACCCGTCTGCGTAAAAGTCATCATTTCAAGTTCTACTCGAACATGCCATCGTACAGGGATAACAAATAATCAAAGAAGGCAATATCTGCATGTTGATATACACTAATGCTTATAGAAGTATGCCTACTTCGCTCATCTCAATCACAATGTCTCCCAAACCATATGGAATTTCTCGTCATGATAATGAATACACACAAACACAAGAAGACACTAAACCCTTCTTAATGACAGTCATTCTCACACAAATGCACAAATCCACTTGAAAGATAAGAGAAACGCATATTGTGTATGTCAGTATGAAAGAAATCAAGGTAGAAATATTACAGAGATTACAGTTGTAAGGCGTTACACTTGAAGGTGATTTCCCCTTCTACAACCAGCTGAAATTGGTTATTTTCAACTCAGGTCTGAATTTATATGCAGGCGCATTAAATGAATTCGTTTGCTTGACACTCGTTAATTTCTGTTGCCCATCTACACTTCGGCCATCATTACGCCACATGAGGATGTTGGATGAGGAACCGTTCCAGTGATTTGTGTATAGATTTACCAAATCGCCATAGTTCAGTCCCGCTCTCAAATCTGGTATCAGCACCTCAAATTTGACTTTCGAGAAATCCACTGAATGGTGCACATTATCGAGAGATTTAACCAGTTGTGATGCATCACCCAGTTTCTCATGACGAGTCTGCATTAATTCATACGCCAGACGACATATCTGAAACACAAAGTGAATTATTATAACGTATCAGATGAGCAAAATCCGTTTTCATGTGATTCAACAAACACACAAAAACTAATAAAGCCACTTGGAAGTAATTTGTGTTAACTGAAACCAATGTTGGCAGATACTGCTACGATAAATATTTTTGACATCTTTTTCGTTATCATTGCTATTATGAATTTCAAACAATGCGGAGGAAATGTTTCAGGTTGACATTACCCACTGAACAGTGACAACAACTGTTACAGAACCAGTGTACATCACACCGAACTGAATACTCAACATCTCTCTAATGTGTAGATGTCTGACAGAATTCATTCCGAGGCTTATGTGAAATAAAGGTCAACATCACCAGTTGACGTGTCAAGTGCGATATTATCCAACAAGTGGATCAGGAGCGGGCTAACATAGTCTGAGATTTCTTTCACCTTAATGCTGTGAAAAACATCCCTTCCATACTGATTACACATGATAAATAGAGTGAAATATAACAAGGTTACTCACATTTGATGAAAATGTGCACACCAGAAAATCTGTTTCTGATAAGGCCAGTGTGTCAATAAATGCATTACTCATTGAATCATGCTTCTGCGATTTTCTACACCAGCTGACATCGACCTTCTTTGACTGCCATATAGAATATAATTTGGATGATTTGTGGTGAACTGGTCGAAGAGAGAAGGTTCATCTGTCGTCAAATAAACACTTCTGTTTCTGTGTATGAAACGTCCAATATTCAAATTGTAGCCATTCGAATTCTGAAAGAAAAGTGTTGGAAGAAATGCGCGTATCTTTGTAAACTACGCTTGGTAGCAAGAGGGTGATCTAGTGTAAAATGTAGTGCACAATTATCATTACACAGGATTGACACACATGAAAGTTGAATTAGTTCCAATCATAGCATAATATGGGGGATTACTTCTGTCAACTGAAATTGCATCGTCATGCGAAAACTTTGACACGTTTATACATGACTATGCATGACTCATCGTCTCACCTCTTACACTTGATTTTCGATATTTCGTGATGGCCACAAACCTAGAATGGTAATCCTACTATAAGTTCACACAAAAGCACTTTCAATGAAGGCAGATATTCGTCGATGACATCGGCTTGAGGTAGCGTAGCGGTGATGTTCAACATGCTAGCTGTGAAGTTCTTGAGTGCAATAATTGCTTCGGTCAAGGGTGCATGCCGGTAGAGTGTGGAGCTGGGACAAAGCAGCTTCACGATGCTCCCTAGTTTTCAATGACTATCTAACTGACATTAATCCCTGATCTCGACTGAAGTTCTTCAAACCTCCAGAAGCGACTAGTAAGATATTTGCAATGAAAGTACAAGCACAATTAAAGATATCGGTCAAAGATCAGCGCTGTTTCCGTAGCTTCACTTCAAAGCTGCACAGTTATATGGTATTGTTGGGTGTCATGGAGATGCGTGTCAATTCACTCGTTCATATCACCTGGTCACAAAACATATGAGAATATATTTCGAGAATATGAATGGACCACGTCACCTAAAGTTGATATGTGAGCAGTATCATTCAGAAATAATTATCACTGAAACCACATTTCGTTTACACCGGATTACTTTTATTGAAATTAAACAAATTTGTCATACAATAAGTGGTCTGCCGATTTTCTATGATTGCTCTGAACAATCTTTTCCTCTGTCTCGTTTTAGCATTCATTGCTAATACCCTCAATATCAACACTTTGCGTACAACATTATTTCGAGTATTCCGCACAATGAACATTGTGCAATGACATAGTTAACACAGTTGTACAATCTTCTGATTGGTGTTTCAGATGTGTTGTGATGTAACTTTGTGTCTCATTATGACTTTCCTCCTCTCATACTTGTATACTCCTTATGTCTCCTTAGTGAAAATCATTAAGTATGGTTTATTGTGATGGTGAGCTGTTTGTCTACACATGAAGGCAGCTTACATCTGTTTGTGCCTAAAGCATCAGCAAAATCCTAAATGTGCAAGCTACAGCATGCTACGTAAACTGATTTGAATAGTATGCAGGAGTGTTTGCTGTCTTTATTCCTAGTGAAGTATTGGTTTTCATTTAGGGAGCTGGGAAATCTGTTATCACTAATGATGGAGTACTAAAAATTTGTTCTCATTGTTGCACACGTAAAATGCAACCAATAATCTCAGGACTTCTTCAAAATATGAAAATCGAGTAATCCATGATGAGTTGAAACACTGATTCAAGCTACTCCTGTAGAAAGTGTCCTTGCGACCGGTACTATTCATTCATTACTGTCTGGTATAGAAATAATTCTGGTAAATAGGAAATGTTGGGCATGAGGCTAGCAGCCGCATCCTGTCAAATTAAAGCCTACTACAGAAACTTCAAGCGACTAGCTTGATGCCCTATGTTCCACTGGGAACGGGATGGAAATAAAAAAATAACTGTCTGGTACAAAATACAACTTACATATATTTCGGGCTTCAAAAGAGGTGTAGTATTCTCGAATGAATTGAAATAATCGTCCACATGCTTCATGTACTCTTCCAAATCATGTGATTGAGCTTCCCAAATTAGCTGGAAATGTAAATTAAGTAATTTAGCTTAGTTATTTACGAAAACAAAATGCAAGCATTATTAACCATCAAAAGCCTTCCTGATTGTTCATTTCTTTCTCTCTTTCAGTCTAACCGGTTAAAACATTGGTGGATATTCCTGAGCCAAAGTTGCTAGATTTTCGCTTGTTCCTCTTCAACACAATCAGATGAATAATGTTTTGAAGTGAACAGCAATATTCAGATATCGCTGCAGGCCCTATGTATGATGTCATAAAGACACATGATTTTGCTAAGTGAACAATTCTACCAACACGTGCTACTGCAAGTCTTCTCTTCATCACCTTTCCGTTCCTAACTTTCTAAATTATGCTTATTATTCTTCATCGTTGTGTAAAAGATACACAACTTATGACCTCCTCATCAATGCCTGCTGCTCACTCACTCAATTTCATTTCTACGCTGAAATTCGTCACATATCATGTAGTAGTTCCTAGTTTCGATTAGAAACAATGCACGGGGAATTCGATTGACCTCCTGTGTCATGAGTTGGTTAGTTAGTTGAATGACTTCCATGAATATATATTTGTTTCTGTTATTTTCTTTATTCGCTTGTGTTCCAGGTGGGACATAGGGCTTCAACAGCACATTTCCACTGCATTCTATTCTCCTTAGTATTCTGTATTTAGCTCAGAGATCGCCCACAGACTCTCATCTCCTCCTCACACAATCTCCTACATGTCACACTCAGACGCCCGACTTGTCGTTCCCTATTCGCTGCTCACTCAGTGTGCTGGGTCGAGATGCCACCCAACGCTGTCTTCAGTGCATGTACAATCCATCTTCATTTCCTTCTGCATATTTCTTGATCACGCAATATACACATTGTGTCATAGGAGTTATTAAGAAGACAATTGCAGCGAAGAAAATTTTTTTCGATGAAGTCACCATCTAGGCTGTACATTCGTGTATTTATATCAAATCGATGGGAAAGTTCCAGAATAATTTCTGATTAAGGGTGAAATTAATAAAAATTAAAATTGGGAATTAGAATGCCATAATAAACAGGGGAATGGATAAAATAAACAAAGTAGCATCATAATAACTAAGAAGATTGACATTGTGCAATTAGGGGTTAGAAATGTAGAAATAACAAAATAGACAGGATGTTTGGATAATAACTAATGTAATGTATAATTGTTTATGCAATCAGGGGTTAAATATGTAGAAATAGTAAAATGACAAAATAAACACGAAGTTCGGGTATGAAAATATGTTAGTGTAAACAGGGATTAAGAAAAACTTAAAATAACATCAATAAACTCTATCTTTATCATCTCTTTCGTCCTTCAAGTTCACTTAAAGTATAGTCTTCACTGACTACACTGCCAACTGGTAGGATTTTGCCTGTAAATCTTTGAGTTTATATGAGACTAAAAATGTCATCCGCGAAGTCCAAATCCTCTGGTCTTCTTGTCGGCCCAACTAATTCCTGACTTCTCTCTACAGTCTGTTGCATGATCCAGTGCCCCACAACCGGTAATATTATCGGTGATAGTAGGTGACCTTATCTTGCTCTGTCCAATGTCCCCCTTGAGCTTTCCGCTGTGAACCACCTGACAAGTGACATAGTGATGCAGGTATTAAATGAGGTTGATGAAGGTTCGGGGCATTCTGTGGTGTTGGACCGTAGTGTTGCGATGTGATCTGCAGAGACTTTGTTTTAATTGAATCCATGTTGTTGACGGCGGAATTTCGCATCCACAACGTCGTTTAGTCCCTTCAGCACGAGACAAGCTAATAATTTGCTTGGTGCAGATAGAAGCATGTTTCCACGCCAGTGTTTGAAAAGTCCTAGGTTGCAGATTTCTGGTAGTTTGATGACGTAGTCTTTCTTCCAATCAGTAGGTAGACTTTTTTCCTCCCACACTTCCTGTAGTAGTTGTGCAAGGATATCCACTGAGATGTTGAGATCTGCTTACAGTGCTTTTGCAGGAAATCTATTTGACTGAAACTTCTGCCTTCCTAGTTTTCATTGACGTATTGGTATTGAAGACTTCTACTTTTGTCGACTAAATGGTGTCCACTGACAGTCCTGTCACTGACTGGTTTCCTTTGCTACATCACCTTTGATTGGTTTCATCTGGGTTGATCTCTTCTCGCATAACAACCTGGTTATCTGATTCAATGTTCCGTTTGTTTGTCTCGTTTGCCTGAAGCCTTCCTGTTCTGCTTCAGGTGCAAGCCAGTGTGTCGTAGAATTGTCTTTTGCCTTCGAAGAAGTCTGCGAATATTTCTGGATTCTCATTCATTTCTCTGGGAGTTTCCCGACACATGATGACTTCTATTCCTACGTCGTTTGCCCCCAGTTTGGCATTTCAGCGGTGTGATGCAACATTAATTTTGACACTTAGTGTTCAGCCAGTCCGTTTAATCACATCACCATGTTATACTCAAATGCAGTTGATGATTTATTAGAACACTCACCTTGTCTGTGCGTCTTATGTGCACACCAACCACTGGATGATCACTCCGCCTAAATCCACTCAAACTTTGGTTGATTAGCTGAGAAAGATGCAAGTTCGGACGCAAAACGTATGCGGTCAATTGACCAGCAAACCATGCATACGGTGCTTCATGCAAATAAGTAATTTTTCAGCTAAATCTCTAGGTAACACGTTTGGAACCCAGTCGTTGTCTGAAGGAATATATGCTTTCAGAGGACATTCGATAATATCTGAAGAAGATTGAAGAGAATGGGTTTGATTGGGTGAGTTCATAATGCATAAAAATAAATTTTAGGCTTGGTGTCTATATTCATATCACAATTTTCCCCCTTGTATGCCAGTGTCATGTTATCTATCACCACATTCACACTAAGATTAGGCAAATCCACAAGGTCCTAGAAATCTGTCCACTCACGTGTCACAATTTCTCCACTGATTTATTTGAAACCTTATGCCTCTAGCCATAACTCGTCAAGCTGTTGACTGGCGTACATTGCTTTTCCATCTGAATTGCATTATTTACACGACTTGTGGTCTCAAGACAATCCGTCACTTATTTTCACATCCGGTGACTTTGTCCTATGAAACTGTGGTATTAGGATTAGAATGCAGCTAGCCATGGGGTGACCAAAGACAACTGACTAGGGTGAGTGAGCACTCAGGTATTCAAGTGAGTAGAGTTTAACTCACAGTTCGCAAGCCACACAGTTCTACTTGAACCTCTACCACAGTCTCCTTGGGAAACCAAAATCACTCAGATTACAATGCCACCTGCTTCATACCATAGTTGATGATGAGTGATTCAATCTCCAACCACTTTGTACAAGCACCCATCCTGGATTTGGGCGATCTGGAAATATTCGGCTGTGTGAGCTCATTCGATTCAGGTATACCACTGATGCGTTCGGACCAAAATGGGCACCAAATGGCCGTCTAGTGTTAAGATCACTTCAATCTGACTACGAAGCACTTCTGGCTGGTGTGAGTGATGTCCGACTACTCATATAATTTAATCAGTAGCATACGACGTCATGCGATATAAGATAGGTTTCATGGTCTTAGTTCGGTCATTGCTGATGAAGACGAGTCAGAGAGATGGAGAATGCGGTCAGTTACAAACCAGTGTGACACTATTCACTGCCTGCAACAACCAGTACGTATACTAGAAATCCACCGAATGCGTAAGCCACTTTATTCGTCTTATTTTAAGTTATCCAATGAAAATCGCTGAGTTCAAATTCGCCTTGAATAGATAACCAGTACTGTGCAATTAATAATTCAGTGGAGACTTTTATTCAGAATACTGAAGTCATGTTCTAGTAAACGCACTATACCTCAAATCATAATTTCTGCCTTTACATGCTTTACGTATTTCGAATAAGGATCAACTTAAAAAGACGAATACTCCAATGTGTGTTTCAATCGTACTGTTTGGCATAATGACATCACTATTATTATTTTCGCTCTCACATTCAGGGATGAAATTACATTCACATGATATATTTTGATGCAACAAGAATGCATCAATAGCACTATCTACACACCTGTTTTATCATTCAAGTCTTCATAACTACATTTCTCCGAGAGTGGTATTGTGTTCTGTTTAAGCCATTCACGAAATATATCTCCAGGAGAGTGCTTCTTCAAAACCAGAACTCGTTTATGTTCAAAGGCCATATGTAAGCACGCAGTTAGCTGATGAACAGAGCATCCGAATCCACATAAATTCGTAAAGTCGAATGTAATATATTTGGCAGTTTGGCAGTTTGTTGGATTCTGAAATCAAGCAAAGATACGAGATGGAAGGAAAAAGTGAAGGAGTGATCATCGCCTTGTGGCATGACACAGTGCTACAATAATATTACAAGTACACCTGGCTATGTCAAGGCTTTCTGAAAAAGGCCAAATTTGAAGAACCTATATCTATCTGTTATATGACAACGTAAATTCGTATTGAAATGGTGACAGTGGCAAGATTCGAAGCACTGTCCTTCAGATCACTAATCTGACATTCTATTGACTGCGACACAAGATCCACCTGATAATCAGCCCATCATTTCACTATAATTATCATCATCATCTGGCTTGATACCCCAGATCCTGATTCCCACTTCAATTCATTCATCACCTATATGCGGATATCTGACGGAATCACTCACTCATCAGAGCTGTCTACTCTAACAGTAATTTCAAGAATCCTTTCATTTCAGAATTTCCAAACAATAATAATAATATTAAAATCTACGCGTACCTGCAGTTGTCGAATCCGCCTCTGTACTGTTTCAGCGAGTTGGTTCAAACCGGTTATTCGAAATCTTGAAAAGCCATCTGTTTCACCCAATTCTTTCAGATGGGCTTCCATGTCTTCAATGATTTCGTGTAGTTGAATTTCATATCTTTCCAGTGATATTCTGATTGACGACACACTTGTATTACTTTCATGCAGATTACTGAATTCTTCGAGACTTTGAGCGATCTTGTGCAGTCCGACTGAGGTGTATTTCATTTCATGCAAGTAGTGTATGGCTCTACGTCGAAGGATCTCATGAGAGTAACCGATTGAAGATGTTACTATGAACGCAAAGTGAACAAGTACAGTTTTCAGTTATCAATCAGATTACCGTTGAAGGGAAAAGGTCGTAATAGTGTTGAAAGTTGACTATGCATCAGGTTGTTTTTATACTGCGCCAACTACTTAACTTTCAACTGAACACAATATTACATTTCTAATTTCAACTTCAGATTCCATGTTGCATTGAGTTTCACGATGTATATCCACTAAATGCGAAGAGGTGAACTACAATATGTAGCTGATGGGAATTGATAGTAAGATAAATAAAATGCATACATATAGTATTTCTGATCGCATAGTAGTTTGTTTATCAGCGATCTAAATTTTCCTGGTGCAACAGTCATTTGAATTACCCGGAAAAATCAATCATTAAAATTCGAAATCGGTCAAAACCTGCATAGATAAATTAAGGAACTAACCTGGAAACAGTCTCGTATGCAATGTATTCGTGTGGTTTTGGCTGATAAGAAAACAAGCGGTATAGAAATGAAAATACACAGTGTCATCTGACAGAGTAAATTCAGGAAACAAGTTTATATATATATATATATATATATATATATGCTCCTAATCTACTCCTTCTCTAGGAATCAAGAAAACATTTGAGCAGAATTGACACATTTTCTGATAAATTTGTCGTTAAATCATTTTTATACGTAAGAGTGGGAATTGTGAATATGGGCACTTAATAAATTAACAACTGGATGCATTTATTGTTGTAAATGAAAAGGAATTACGGCTCGGTTATTTCGAACACTCATCGCTGAGATTACATGTTTACAATAAAACATGAGGAACCCTGCGCAATCAGACACCTGATCGACACCTTATTGAAAGCGAAATGCAAGGCAACTTAAGATTTCATTTACAAGTCTATTTTGAAATAGGATGCATTTCTGCTTCGATGCATAGAATATGAAATAAAATGATACGGAAATATACGAGTGCACTGTGACACACTGAAAGTCTTCATATCTGTAGATCAGAAGTGATACCACAATTGAGAGGTCTGATAAAACTCTGTTCTCTCATTTAGGATCGTTGATATAATACCATTAGTTATTTCAATTGATATCCATACACAAAGCCGTATACCTCGCCAAGTGTATGAAAAGAATGATGCAAAATACTCCACGTGTGGAAGGAAGTTGATTGTATTCATACTTGACACTTCGTATTTGGAAAGTGTTTCTATTCCCAAGGAAGACTATTATTATTGTTCACCTTCACATTTTTCAATCCTTATCAATCACATAGGACGCCGTCATACTCATTCACATAGTCAATGGATAGTTGGCTACACAAGTGGAATCTCCACTGAAAGTACCTAAAATTCTGGCATGCTTTTAGATCCAACATCTAGTAAAATTTTAGTTGAATACATTGAGAAGTCCGAGAGTATATCATTGTGTCAGTATGTCTAACTGCATCGTATATAAATAAGCAGGGAATAAGTGTATGATGCGTCAGATTACTTTTCAAAAATAGAATCAGATCTATGGAGGCAAAAGCCAGAGAAAGTGTTAATTCGATTGGATGAAAACTGGTTATCGCATTATTGTTAATATTACTAATGCTCTTGTCACCACTATTGTTATTTGCACCATTTAGACAAGATTACGAGGAAAGATACTTACTTAGAGATACTTACTTGTATGTGATGACACAATACGAAAGAAAGCTATGAGTATTCACCAACAACTAACACATCGTTTGACAGTGAAGATGCACTTGGAACAGACAACTAAACGCATTTCAACTAACACTTATATCATAGTTACATTCCCTGAGAAAGGAGTACTTTTATGTAAAATAAACATGATGTGATACCAATAGATAATCATCGAGTAAGACAATCAAAATCAATCATGCATCACTTCCACCTCAGAAGGAAGAGGCGATTTCAGATGGATGCATAATGTTCGATTATATTTAGGATATAGTTAAAGATGGAGATGTACTTCAAGATTTGTCAGTCTGTACTTAGTGATGTTTTGTATATGACTGACTTCGCTTTACCAGACAAGCATATTTTTAATTGGTGATAGTCGTTGGTTTACTGAGAAGACCATTATGACTTCGTTGTACAATGAAGTTAGCAGAAGTCGGAATTCCTTCAGCTTACACATCCTTCTCCTGGCATGCCACAGTCAAGCCAGTCTTATCCCGATATGACACTTTTGGATGAGCTTAAATTGTTCTTTCGATTTCTCACAATAAATTATTACTGAATATTCGCATTTTAACGATCATCACAACGAGTTAAAATATAAAAGTGAATGTGCAGCTTTAGAAATGTCGTCTGTAGAGAATAGTTTTCAAATAAGGAGCTTCTTCTAATATCCAACTCAACTATCTATAGTAACTTATGTGAGCACGTTGATACTGTAAGGCGATAAGGTGAAATGTGGAAAAAGTCCACAACAGGCTGACATTGATTCCTTTTTGGATGGATTAGTGAAGTAAATGAATGCAGATGAACACCAGGCGACTAAGTGTGATTCTCATTCACATTTTCACCGATACCAGTTATATAGTGGGGCTTTGAAATGTGTCAGTTATAAGTCGGAAATATTTTATTACAGAGAATATTAAAATTAAAATTTGAAGTCACTTGCCGCACTTAGATTCACCTGTAGTTGTTGAACATATCATGAAGAAGTATCATTTGAGCGGAAATCCAATCTATCTTGGCACCTGCGTCTCTCCTTTCTTGGATCACAGCTTCCCGGCATGTAGTTTCTTTGGACTTTGTTATCTTGCTGAAGAAGTCTTGAACACAGAAATGAAGAAGAGGGAGCAGTGGTATCCATGTGACGGCGATCAAAATGAGTTTCACTTTTGTGCATCCTTAATTGACAATAATCGCTTTGAAAGAAGAATAAAATCACTCACTGTGCAGCCAAATCAAGCGCATTATTTGAGTAGGTTTTGACGCTTAAGTTGTTCTGTAAACCTGAATGAATGAGCAGTAGTACGAAATAGATATTTTACTCCAATCATTCTTCGGTATCATTTATCTATTTTATTGGGTCAAGGTGAATTCAAATGGACCAACCAAACTCATCTTTAGTGATGATCAAATCGTTACAATGGTAACTATGGAGATGAATTGGCTGATTTTGAACCTTAACTGCACGATAATAATAATAATACCTTCACACCCAAAATTTCAGGGGGAACACATAAAATATGAGAAATGAATTTTAATAAAATGCCTCTTTCATTGATCTCTATATACACATATGTGTTAATTGGCGAATGCTTTGGGAATGGGTGTGAAAATGTCTTCCAAATGCTGTGAGCGTTTACACGACGACATAAATTTTGTTATCCTTACTGAATATTAAGTTCTGCAGAATGCTGCTCTCATTCTTCATTTAATGGTAAGATTTGAAAATCACTCTTGAATGAGACAGTTTAATATACATCGATTTGGTGGCTTCTTATAACTGATGGATTTTTGAGGATTATTATTGTCTGAAAATATTTCGCTGTGGCTTTGAATTTCCCCTTCATTGGTACCTCTGGAACAGAATATACAAAACCTGTTGTGCATTTCCGATAAATAACTTTTTCTTATTCATTTGTCGAGATCCGTGGAGGCGACTTATAAACTCAAGTAAATTCCCCTGACACTTCATTGATATAAACCTCAATTTGTAATTAAATGGACATGTACGTAGAAAAACGGTGAGCAACTTTGTGAAATATACCTGAAATTATCGTTGATCAGGTTTAAAATGTGATTATTTTCACATTTTGGATTTTATAATAGTTCCATGATAAACATGAGACATCAGCTAGCAACCGCACTCTGTCTGGTGTTAGCAAAGTTATGTACCGAATATGATTGGCACTGATGAGATTTTCAACCTCATTCATGATGATCAAGCGTAACAATCTAACCCCGTGAAAACAACACCGTCACCACTACCGAAACTTTAGGAAAAAGCTTGAAACCCTGTGTTCTACTCCGAACTCAAGGAAGGAAGAAAAAAATGAAGATGTTTGCCAAATAGTTCATTCGGTCTTTCAAGAAAATGTATTGCTCAGTTAGATGCAATAAACAGACACATCTTTTAGCAAACTGTCTACAGTGAGATATAAATCCAAATAAGCCTCTTAAAAGTCAGTGGAATCCTCACCTACTTCAAAAAATCTGGTGAAATGTTGATTATCCACTAATGAGTCCATCTTAAACAGAAATCATCGAGTCAGTAATATTTTGAAGTATCAAATAATTCCGAACTGTGGTAACTCAAATTTCCCCCAATCATCATAGATTATGCTGGTTAGTAGCGCGGTAAACCGATTAGTCTAAGCTTTCAGAAATTCGATAGGAGAGTATTCAGGGATCATTAAGAATAATTTGAAATTAATGTGAATGAATTCAGGTGCAGTTTACCTGAACTATATACTTCTATCTTAACGCACTGCAACAGAAGCTTTCTGTTAGTCGTTAATTCACAATTACGTAAAATTAGGAGGAACAATCATTTTATTTTATGGAACACCTGACCTGGTACTTAGGTTACGATATCCTAACTGTTAATCATTACGCTTAGCGGGCCATATTTATGCTGAAATTTCACAACTGTTATTTACAACTGTTATCAATATATTGTAACTTCGATTCTTGATGGTTTATTTTTAAAAAAATTATGATAGCTTAGGATATATTACTACTTGTTTGGTACTTTGTATTTCCCATTGATTGATTTTTTCATTCCTTCACGTTCCTAGTGGAATACAGGGCTTCAAGCTGTAGCTTTGAAGTTTCGGTACCAGTGACGTTTACTTTTACGGGATGAGGTTACTAGCCTCATGTCCAACCTTCCCTCTTTACCAGTCTAACTACTGGCTTATTGAGTTAAAGGAGTGCGTCAGTGGCCGGAGATCGAACTCCGGACCACCTGTGTGGTTGGTGAGCATTCTACAGCTGTACTACTGACGCACTGTTGATTGACTATTATGGACCGAAATTAACTAAATCAATCTCTATGATGTGTGTTGGAAATATCCAGGCTGTAGTTTCTTTGCAACTGAAATAACAAAGGGATTACTTATTATTTGTTGAACGATACGCTCTTGATTAGTCTGTTCCCATAGTTTCTTGTTGGCAGTTCATTCCGACTGGTCATCTGATGTTCAGTGCGAAGACGGCGACGGCAGATGTTGATAGAATTCCACAGTAGTCTGTTGGAAATGCTTCTCAAGATGGACAGTGCAGATTTCTGAGAAGTATAGAAGATTCGACTGACTTGACATTTGTATTGAATATCCGAATTTCCTTGCTAATGCTGCAGAGTGCAGAAGATTTCAAAACTGATTTCAGATTGATGAAGGTTAACTCTACCCTTCCGATTCTGTCTGGTTTTGACATCTTCGTCCATTTCAACCGCCTGTGGCTGGTACAATGCCTTCTAGATAAGTAAAGGATGTGACCGCTTTCAAGTTTCACCCGTTGAAAGTGATTGTTGCTAGTTGTTGTTGTTTGTTGCTGATGCTATCGCTGTTGGTTTGTTATCTTTATCCCCCGTATCTTCTCTATGTTAACCTGGAGTCATGTCCTTGCTGACATCATCTTCTGCCAGTTTGTTGTTTTTCACCTGTTAGTCGTCGAGTTCGTGTGACATTAAATATTAATCATCCAAACGCAAAATTCAGATCTTCCAGAGCCTTCTTATTGGTCCAGAGTATTCAGGTCTTCTCGCTTCCATGAACAGTCTGACACATAATCCAGTCCACCACAATTAGGAATATCACGAGTGATAGTAGATGGCAACATTGTTTTACTCCAGTATGCGCCTCAAACGCCTCGCTAAATTTTCCGTTGTGGATCAGCTGGCACGTGCCATTTTAGTATAGCTGTTGAATGAGGTTGATAAAGAATTGAGATACGCCGTAGTGCTGAAGTAGTTTCTGAATTACGTCTCGGTCAACGCTGTCTGTCGAAGGCTTTTCGAAGTCGATGAAGTTGAGGTAGAGTTTTGACTACAATTCTATGCTTTGTTCTGTGATAACGATGCGTAGAATTGCAATTTGATCGGTACATGCTTCGCCTTTCCTGAATCCAGCTTGTTCCGGCGGACGCAGTTCTGCATCCATTGTATTAATATTTGAGGCCTAAGACGATATTGCATCAAATCATGTATTTCACCTCATAAATAATTCTGACGACTCATATGATTTACAGAAGTTGTGTTTACTAAGGCTCACAAGTTATCTCGAGGTCCCCAAGCTACTGTGGAAGGTGAATGAGATTCTCTTATAAATTGAAAAGCCTTAAGTCTAGACTGAATTTATGCTTCAATTGGTGAATTTCATCTTGGGAATAACCATAGAATCAGTGGGACCAAATGTATCTGCGCCGTATTCACTTCTTTTTTAACTCGAATGCAATGATACTTCAGTGGTTCATGTAGCGTTCACTACAAAAATACCACACAAGTGAATGATGTTCAATAGCAGGTACTGGTCTATGAAATATCACTAAAAGTGTTTAGTTGAGTATACGCAGTGGAGTTTACCACAAGAAATAGGTCTCATCTATAAGGTACAACGTCTATCTCTAATTAATAAGGTGACATAGACAGAACATTCTGAATTCTTCACTTATCTCTCCAGTGTTTGTCTCCCAAATCTTCTGGACATTTTGAGGAGGCCACTTTATGACTAGAAATGTGAAATGAATTTCGTTGGGATGTGGATTTAATGTTAAACGGTGATTAGTTACATATGATCTGGGATTACTTTGGGCTACAGTGATATCACATACATCTTTTTATCTTAACTGTAATCTGCATATGAAGCCATTAAAACTACCTGAGATTCCTGGAATTCTGCAGTTATCCAAAATTCTGAACGCGTTCATCTGTCCATGGAATATATGTATTTCAATAAATGTCTCTTCAAAACACTGGATGATCCGTAACTAATTTCATCAGTTGTGTGAATATGTCAAAGTAATACAGATCCGGTGTAAAAGTGGTGACATTTCGATGCACTTTATCTCATTCACACCATCGTCCCTGAAAATCCAGAAATCAGAAAATACAAACGCATTCTCTGCTGGAATCCAGAACAATCTACAGTTAGTCTAGTTTGGGTGGAAGATCTTGGATAGGCAGTGAGCCAATATGTGTTCTTTCAATGAAAGCATGGGTAAGGTCAGGGATGCATAATGTCTGCATTATATAAAATGACTATTAATCTACTCATGAGGGGTATAAATAGGAACTCTGGATTCAGATTCTACAATTTCCACTGACATTGTGGAACGTATTCGATGTTTCACACTTTTTATTTTATGCATTAACAAACGAATCAAAATACTTCACGGGCATTACATATATATGTGGGAGGATAATTAAATGTCAGCAGAGACATATTCATTGCAATTACGATACGAAATACACATACACATTTTATAGTTTTTGATTAGCGCTCACTGTATTCATCCTAATGACTATTGTTCGAAAGCCTTTTCAAAACTATGCTAAATATAACCATCATACTTAGATATATTACCATGAACCTCTAACAGTCGTATACAGAGAACATAATGCAGTGAAAACTGAATTATTAAGGTTCGAAATTTATTCAATTTCACACAAATTTCAATTGAATAAAACTACCACCATATTATAGACAGATGACAAATGGGTGAAGAATACACATTCCATAGATAATGGAAACTCCTGGGTATATTTTCATGAAAGTACCAACGAATTTATTGAACTCTGAATGGAAAACGGTCAGCGCTGAAACGCATATTTAATTCTACCATCACTAAATTGAACAGAAGAACAGTCTCGATGATGGAATGCCTTCATTGTGTTCAATTAGTATGTTAACATTACAGAATTCTAACTCCATGTCAAAGAATATTGTTAATCACCCTAAATATGAAAT